GGGGCCTTGCTGGAGCTGGGCCTCGCCGGAGATGCGCCGCGGGGCCTTGCTGGAGCTGCGCGGTGCTGCGAGCCACAGGGGATCTCGCCGGAGATGCGCCGTGCTGCGAGCCGCAGGGGATCTCGCCGGAGATGCGCCACGGGGCCTAAGGAAGAAGAAGCTGGGGCGATTTTTTTTTTGCTCCAGATCCAACCGTCGCGTGGCTCGCATCGAGCGGCTATGGCTGGACCGGCCGAAAGTTTCGGCCGGTGCGCCGGCGCCTAGCGGTGCCCTTTGAACAAATCGAGATTCAACACACATTCTTTTAGGCCTTAATTGTGGCAGAGAGATTCTTGATGATACCAGCTAAATGATCAATGATCAAACCGCCTCGGCGCTATGAGGTTGACTGAAGCAAGTGGAGCGCGCTGTTGTGCATAGTCTGTCAAGTTTGGGGTTCCCACTCCCCCAAACAGTGGGGGCAAGTTATCTCGCCGCAAGGTTGCCTATGTTGCTAGTCTGGAGAGCACGGTGGCAAGCAAGAGCGTCGCTCTAATGACCAAGACTTGGTCTTCACTATGAATAGCAATAGCTCTGAGAATTTAGAGTATGAGAGTGCAAAATAACTTTTCTGTTACTTGTAAAAGAGTATGCAGTGAGGGGGTTGAGACTGTAGTAGGTGTAGATGAGGCTATTGTCCATTTAGCAGAGGAGATGGATGGGGGAGAGAAAGAAGTTTAGAATAGGAGGCGGGAGCTTGTAGGAGAGGAAAAAGAGGAAGGTGGTACACCAGCGGAAGCTACCGACCCTGGAGTTGCCGGTTAACTGACGGGCACGCTTGATGCTGCCCGTTAGAAGCCATGAAAATTTTGAGTTGGAACTGTCGAGGCTTGGGGAAACCTCGCACAGTTCAAGAGCTTGTGTGTCTAACTAAGACACACCGTCCCATTGTTATCTTTCTTTGGGAAACTAGAAAAAATAAAGACTATGTTGAGCTTTTGCGTTATAGGTTGGGTATGAACAATTTGTTGAATGTTTCTAGCTATGGTAAAGGTGGAGGGCTTGCTGTATTTTGGGATGAAGCATACTCCTCTGAGTTGAACAAATATGATGAACACTTTATTGTTATGTACGACGACAAGGGAGGGAGGTGGGTCACAAAGTGGAGGTCACTTTTATTTATGGAGAACCTAAGACGAACCTAAGACGAGCCAAAGGTACGTTATGTGGGGTCTCTTGAGACGGATTAAACCTCTTGGTGTTGGACCTTGGTTTATGATGGGGTATTTTAACGAAGCTATATGGCAAAATGAACACTTTTCTCGTCATAAGAGGTCTCCTGGACTCATGGCTAATTTTCGTGATGTTTTGTCGGATTGTAATTTATATGATTTGAGCTTTAAATGTGTTCTATGGGCATATAATCACAAGGAGGGCAACAAAAATGTAGGTATGCCTTGTCCGTGCGGTTGCTTGCCCCTTTGGTCTTTTATTTTCCCACGGTGCAAGGTCTCTCATATTACAAGAGCACCTCTAGCATACCCCTTATAAGTATAGCCCTTATAAGGGGTTTACAGTTTGCATTTTCCCTCTTATAAGGGATGAATTTGGCTATGGCGGAACAAAAACCACATATGAAACTTTATAATTTGAAAAAAAAAGGTTTAGCACAAGAGATGAACATGTAACAGTAGTAGATAGAAGTTGATCATCGATACATGTATGAGTTCATCAATTTACATAGGCTAGATTCTTGCGCGCCAGACTAACCCTAACTGCCCAATATGGGGCTCACCAGAGCCCTCCGGGTGCGGCGGCGGCGATCACTCGTTGTCATCGTCAGAGGAGGTGAGGTCGATGAACATGGAGTCTTGCGCGTCGACTTCACGGCGTCATGCCTCCATCTTCTCGTCGAACTCCCACGGCCTGGCGAGGCCCTGCTCGTATAGGACCTGGTCGATCTACTCGTCCCAGTAGCATCGCTGCGCCACCTCCTCGTCCTCCCGCGCACTGCACTCGAGAATCGCCGCCTCAAGGGTGTCCGACTCGGAGGGGGCAGGTAGTCCTCCGGCCTGACGACGCAGGTGCGTGGACACTCTGCCTCGGGCTCCCTCTTCACCGCGCTGAGCAGCGGGAGCTCCTCCGTCTCCCTCTTGACCGTGCAGAGCGGCGGAAGCTCCTCTGCCTCCCTCTTGGCCTGCGGCAGCGGCGTGTGCGAGTTGCTCTCATCGGAGGAGCTTCCCGCGCTAACGAGCCGAGCCTACCATCAGTCATACTCCTCTGTCTCACGGCGGCAACTTAAGACCTCGGTTCGTGTACTGTCGGGCGGACCTCTTCCTCGCCGCGTCGGCAAAGACACAACGGTTCCGCTCGGGGTCCTCGCCGCCGCCGGAGCTCCACATCCCATGCCACATGGTGGCGGATCTGTCGCCGTTAGCGGAGTGGGGCGGCGGATTTGGGTTGCCAGCGACGAGAAATCAGATGGAAAAAGGGGTTTGCGGCGGCGGGGGTAATTGGGTTTCGCCCTGTATAGCGGCGACGAACCCGTAGATTACCGCGCGGGTTTTTTTGGTCACTATAAAAGTATTACGGGCGGGACGACTGCACGGGGTCTGTTCTGGCCCCAAAAAAGGGCCAAACCCGTATAGGCATCGGAATTATACCGGTCGGGAGCCTTTAGAGTGTGTGCTAGAGATGCTCTAAGGTCCAGGTCTGGGCATTGCTGTATTTTTACTGAGTTGTTGGGTAAGGTGAGAGGTGGTAGGTGTCATGGATCTAAGACTGACAGTAGAATGGGGGGTAGGTATGAGGAGGCAAGATCCTAGCTATTGTGAAGTTGTACACACGAGTTTTACGAGTTTAGGCCCTTCGCGG